GAACATGTGCCACCTTCTCGAGGAGAGGTGCCCTGATAAGACATGGCGTTGCCGACGCGCCAAACGACAGATCCTTGGCAACAGCGCCCCCTGCTGCAAGCTCGAGCCGCGTGGCCAGGTCGAGCCCGCCCGCATCCAGTGGAACGAGGACGCGATCGCCCAGTTCAACATTGATCGCGATGCCGTCGAGGCTGCCTTCGAAGCCGCCTTCTCGACAGCTGAAATCCAGTGGTCTGGGTAACAGGAGCTGGGCCCCGTGGGAGCCATGCCAACGAGATGCTGGGCAGGTGCTTCGCGTCATCTGCTGGAACGCAAGGAGCCTGCTCTGCCTCAACATCCGCAAACGTGAATCTCAAATACAGCTGCTTTCCGAATGCATGCGGCAACGTTTTTTTTCATCGTCCTCCAAGAGGTGCGCAGTGACGAACGTCGCCTGAAGTCGATGACGCGCCGTACTCACGCACAAGCTACTTGGCCGTATCCGATGTCTCTGCTGGCGGAGTCGCTTTCTTTGTACCTGTTCACTCGCCACTTCAGCTTGTTCCTGACGCCCTTAAGCTGGAGTGCGCTTTGCACCCGATTGTCACTGGCCGCGCGGCCGCCTTCTTTATCTCTTCGCCCGCACACGAGCATAGCATGTGAGTTCTCAACCTACATCATCACGATTAGTCCGCTCTGGAGGTTCACGAGATCGAATGCTCTCGGGCCCAGAAGGTAGCGCGCGCGCAGCAGCGCGAGCGCACGTTCAGATTTATAGCTTACGGTGACTTTAACTTTCCAGAATCCCCTCCTCGCTCCTTTCTCTCCCCCGTTCAGTCTCCTTCTCGCCCTGCTCCTCCCGCCGCCCTGCCGGTCACAGACAATCGCGGCCAGCGCATGCAAGCTCGCTGGAAACGCATGTTCGGTACCATGACAGAGCTCACACAAGATCTTTCCACTCGCTGCGACTCCCATCGCCTGCAGGTCTCGCGCATTGACCGTTGTTTTTCCTCGGAGGCTCAGCCTCGCAGATTATACTTCTAGATGTCACGTTTCAGATTGCACGCGAGTGCACGCGCTTGTAGGATAAAGGTTTCCCAGACCACGCCATGCTGCTGTTCGTGATCCGCCCCTCTGCCCCGCGCGCGCAGGCAGAGCGAGCGATCCCACTGTATCTGATCAAGACGGATGAGTTCCGCCAGCATTTCGCATCCATGCTTGCTCATACCGACTTTGACCAGTTGTTCGCAGTCGCCGCCTGGCAAGGAATTAAAGCCGCCATGCACGAAGCTGCTGCGCTCACTGGAGACCGGCTGCAGGGCCCTGGCGACATCCAGTCAGCGCGTCCAGATGCACCAAGCACGCGAATGTTTCTGTTCAGGTCCATGGCTCGTGCACTCTGGCGCAATGATGCGCGCGCTGCTGCGCGTCTCGTCGCTTCCTCTCCCCCCGCCTCTTCTCTCCTCGTCGTCGTCGGCAGCGTCGTCTCTCTCCGTGATCCCCCCTCCTTCCATGCGCGGCGTGACGCTGCCAATGACGAGTGGCGCCAGCATCGGGCTCTGCAGGCTTGCATGCGAGTCTCTCATTTCGACGAGTTCGGACGACATGAAGATGACGTGCATCAGCGCGACATCGAGCGCAAAGCAGCGCGGCGCGCGCGTCTGTGGACCACCTGGGCCAGGCAACGTCGTCTGGAGGGGTCTTCGCGTGCATGTCCACGCCGATGCGCGCTCCCGGGGGTCGACAGAGCTGGTCCAGGCCGTCTCCCCATACTCTGCATGGCTCTCGCGCCTGCTAGCCGCCGCCATCTTGCGTCGCGTCCTCGAGCGCAGTTACCCGGGGTTTTTCTCCCATTCGAGGCCAATCATTTGCTGTTTGCGTTTTTCCCGAAGGTGGAATTCGTCGGGCGCAGTTCGTTTAACTCGCAGGTGCCAGGATCTCCGGCCCCTCAGTCTTAGAGACAGCGATGTCGAGCCCATAGGATCAGCCATCAATCTCACGCTGAAGCCCATGGTTTCAGAGAGAGCCCACACGAGCCAGAAAGGGTATATCACGGGCCGGAACTTCGCTGGCGACGTGCTCTTACTGGGCGCCGAGGCAGGGGGGGCTGGCTAGCTAGAGGGTGGCCCCCGCAAGCAGCCGCTCTTGCTCCCCTTCGATTTCAAAGCAGCGTTTCCTAGTCTATCCAGAAGTTAGCTCGAACTAGTGCTCGTGCACTATGGCGCCCCGCTCGGAGTGCGTCGGGTCATCGACGCATTGTGCGCGGTCCCGATAGCGCTCGCCAGGTTCGGAGACATGCCCCTTGCGCCGATGCGCGAGCTTGCTAGCGGCGTCCTCCAAGGGCGCCCCCTTCCAGGCAGCCTTGGCGACGGACTCTCTGCTGCGCCATCGTCGCAGACCTTTTTCCATCGACCGATCGCGGCGTCGCGCGAGCGTGGGCCGATGATGTGGGGCTGATTTTGATGTATCACTCAACCTCCGTCGATCGCTGAAACTTTCTGCTTAGCCGAGCGCCTCGCGGGACTGTCGCCCCAGCCGCCTAAACGTGTAGTTGCCCCCCATTGGTCGCCCATCGCTCCAGAGGTCCGCGGCCAAACTGTGGCTGACCTTGGGGCCGCCTGCTCTAGCCGGCGCTCGTTTCAGCGTTCTGACGCTGCGAAGTACCTCTGCGTTTGGCTCGAGCTTGGAGCTGCAGCTGGTCTCCAGTGGCATGCTCCCGCAGAGATGTGGTGGTCGCGCATCTATCCAGCTAGCATCGCTCGTGCTCATCCGTCTGCCATCGCGCTCCCGTGCTCATCTGCCTCCCTTCCCACGCCGAGCTTTGCTGCGCAACGTTTCCAGCCCGTTGCTCGTCTGCTCAAGCGGGAATTTCGCGACTTGCACAAACTGTGCCGTCTCCCGCGCCCAGCTCTTTGAAGTGGGCGGGCATTCAATCGTTCAAGCTCTGGTGTCGTGGAGGCGGTCCAGGCTCGATCGTTGCCCTTTTTGCCTCGCCTCGCTATGGCGTGCTTGTGCCGCAGCGCTGGCGGGGTGGCGGAGCTCGCTCGAGCGGTTGCAGCAGGCCGCCGCGGATGCCGCCTCCGCCCCTCGCTTCTGCAATGGTCAGTGGTCTCCTGCGTGGTGGGCTGAGCAGATATCGATCGTTCAGAGGTTCTCGAATGCGCGCATGTGCCAGCCCATCTCATTGTATAGCTCGTGCAAGATCTCGCCAGAGATCCAGCGCGCTGCCATCAGAGCGGGGAGGGCTGAGGTGTCCAGGGTTCTCGCGCTGGGGGAGTGACGGAAACCGAAGGTGCAGCGCGCTGTCGACGACCATCTCACGCGTTCTCTGTATCCTGACTGCTTCTCTGACGCCATCCGTAGGCGCCTGAGCAAGTGGTTTCCTCTCTTTCCTCTTCCTCCTGACCTCGTGGCCCGCTGGCCTTATCACCGCTCCTATCTCGCTCGCTGCAAGCCGGCGATCCGCTGGTGTGTCATTAAGACGCTGTGCGGCGCCCGGACCACAAGCAATCGGATGCACCCTGTCCAGGGCTCGAAAGCTTACCTTATGGGATGTTCTGACGGAGTAGATGGCATTCAGCACTATCTCGTTTGTGATAAGATCCTACAGTGCCGTTTTCAATGCATGCTCCGCGTGCGGATCATGCATTAAAAATGCAGGGATTTAGTATGAACAACGTCGGTGAGTTCATGCATAGATTTATTCAAAAATTAGTCAAGTATGAAACATCATTTTTTTCCTATGTATCAAAAACTGCCTTGTAGAGCTTGTAGCCGACTCTCAGCGACCATCGAGTGACGAGTTGTTCGTTCGAGTGGGCTCGGGCGGGAAGGCGGCGCACGTGGGTCGACGTTCGCTCGGACCTGTTGTGCGCTCGCTTGCCATAGCTTTCCACACATATCATGCCATGAAGCGGGAGATCGGTCACCTCCCCAAATCTAAATCACTGCGCCTGCCGCTGTACGCTTCCGTGCTCTCGCCGTCCAGCGTCTGCGCGAGGCATAGGCGACCAGGACTCCTCAGGGTACGTTTGTTCCTCTTCCCCCCCCCCCCCCTCCTCCTCCTCCTCCTCCTCCTTCTCTTCCTTCTCCTCCTCCTCCTCATCATCATCATCATCGTCATCACCATCATCATCGTCATCATCATCATTCTTATTAGTTTCTCCCTGTTCGTCGTCGTCGTCCTCCTCCCCCTCCCCCTCCTCCTCCTCCCCCTCCTCCTCCTCCTCGTCCTCCTCCTCTTCCTCCTCCTCCTCCTCCTCCTCCCCCTCCTCCTCTGGGCCTTGCGCGAGAGTCTGGAGGCCGCCCGGCCCCACCCCAAAATCCTGGAGGCACCTTGGGCCAGGGACCCCACTGGAAGCATCCAACTCTCGACGGCGAGCCCGTGGGGGAAACGAGACGGAGGAGGCCTTGTCAGAAGGCGGCGGGGCTCCTCAGAGGCCCTCGCGCTTCCCGAGAAGTCTTCTGTGCCTTTGGGGGTGGCTCGGAAGACTTTTCTGAAGACAGGAGGCCTTCCGAGCCTTTTGAGAAGGCCCGCCCCTTCTCACTTCCCCCCTTGGCTCGCCGCCGAGACTCGTGGCCTTCTCTCCGGTGAAAATATCACGATCGGAGCCCTTGACCCCATCTTTCTGAGCCAGTTTTCGAGCCGGATCGATCTGGGATGGCCCTGGGGCCCGAAACCTGGCAAAATGCCTGGCTCGAAAAGCTTGAAACGCCAGGCTCTCAGGGCCTCCCCCTGGCATCCGGGCACAACAAAGAACCACAACCACAACCACATGGATTTTTCAGGAGCGCCCTTCGGGGGAGAACCCACCGCTCTCGACATGCGCACTTCGGTTGTGGTGGTGGTCGACTTGGCCGCCCTGGGACGCCACGTCGACCACAACAAGCAGGAAGCCAGTTTTGGTGTCCCTGGCATGCGCAAGACGTCCCCCCTGGGCGTCTCCTCGATGTGTTAGCGGCCGCCCGCTGCCCCCGGCGTGGCAGGCAGGGCCTCGCAGCCTGCGCCCCGCCTGCGCCGGAGCGGCCCGTGCTGCCCGCCGGCGCCCCCACACCGCCCGCCCGCGGCCGCCGCGCGCCCCCCCCTTTGGCCGGCGGTGCTCCCCGGGGTGTGCACCATGGCGGAATGGGTGGCCCAGGTCAAGGCCCGCCAGAGGGGGATGGGTGCCTCGGTGGCGACGGCGACGACGCTGAAGACGCCGCCGCCGCCGCCGACGACGACGACGACGACGATGGCGACGACGACGGCGACGACGACGACGACGACGACGACCAGGACGACGACCAGGACGAGCCCCTGGACGAGCACCAGGACGACCAGGACGACGAGGGCACGGCCATGGGGGGTGGCCTCGGCTCTCGGGAGTTGGAGGGAGGGGACACGACGTCACCACCACCACCAGCACCAGGTTCCTCCTGACCTCTCTCCTTCTCTCCCTCTCTCTCTCTCTCCCTCCCTCCCTCTTTTCCTCCTCATCCTCCTCCTATGTGTTCTTCTCGTCCTGCTCCTGTTTTGCAGGACCACGACTGGGTCAGCTCACAAAGGCGCGTGTGGGTGTCGGCAACTGGCAGGTCCTCTAAAACTTTTTCCAGAAAAGGCCGGGGCAAGGTCCACCGCTGGGACCAATCGGGCTGGACTTCCCGGTTTAACCCGGCGGGGACGCGGGATCCCAAAATCATTTTGAATTTAGCGGACGAATTTTCGCGCAGTCTCGGCTGCAGAGGCAGACTTGGAGAGGCTTGCCCCTGAGAGCTTGTGATACCGGGGAGTCTCCGCCTCCTTCGGGCGTGTCATCGTCATCATCGTCATCCTCCTCCTCCTCCTCATCATTTTTCATCATTTTCCATCATCATCATCATCATCATCATCATTATCATCATTATCATTATCATCATTATCATTATCATCATTATCATTATCATTATCATTATCATTATCATTATCATTATCATTATCATTATCATTATCATTATCATTATCATTATCATTATCATTATCATTATCATTATCATTATCATTATCATTATCATTATCATTATCATTATCATTATCATTATCATTATCATTATCATTATCATTATCATTATCATTATCATTATCATTATCATTATCATTATCATTATCATTATCATTATCATTATCATTATCATTATCATTATCATTATCATTATCATTATCATTATCATTATCGTTATCGTTATCGTTATTGTTATCGTTATCGTTATCATTATCATTCTCATTATCATTATCATTATCATTATCATTATCATTTTCATTATCATTATCATTATCATTATCATTATCGTTATCGTTATCACTATCATTATCATTATCATTCTCATTTTCATTTTCATTGTCATTGTCATTATCATTACCATTATCATTATCATTAGCATTATCATCTTTATCATCTTTATCATCATCATCATCATCATCATCATCATCATCGGCGACTACACGTGACATGGTCTTGCGCATGTTGGACTTGGTCTCCACATTGGTCGTGGATCATATCGCAGTGGATCGTGGGCATCGGTTTTCTGATGGCCGCGTGGAGGCTTGTTTTTGGTTTCGTCAGGCTGGCGCTCTTCCTGGTGGTCCTCCTGGAGCTGCGGATGATGATGATGATGATGATGATGATGATGATGATGATGATGATGATGATGATGATGATGATGATGATGATGATGATGATGATGATGGTGATGATCCTCCTGACCCAGCTGACGATTGTGATCCTCGGGACCGTGGGCCTCGCCGTCGAGGGCGTTCACCTTCTCCTCCTGGTCCTCCTGTTCGTCCTGGCCCTTGGCATGTTCAGAGTGGCACGGACCCCTGGTCTGGTGGGCCGCATCGTGGCCCCAAGGCTCCTCGGCATGGTGTGCGTGGTCGGGCAAGCGATGCTGTCCTTTGTCCTGGTGATGGCGTCCCTCCTCCTGCTGGTGCCGTTCGCCATGGCCATCCTGCTGCAGTGGCCGCCTTTCCTGCTGGTGCTCAGGCTGTTCATAGGCTTCCTGTTTTTCCTCGGCTTCCTGCTGATGCCGCCGCCTCTCCTCCTGACGCCGTTCGACATCATCTACCTGCTGGTGGTGCCGTCGCTGTCCTACGTCCTGGTCCTGGCGTCATTCCTCCTGCTGGTGCCGTTCTCCATGGTCATCCTGCAGCAGATGCCGTCCCTCCTGCTGGTGGCGCCATTGAGTGTGATCGTCCTCATGTTCCTGGCCTGGTGGCCTGGCCGGCCGGAGTTCTTCGCCTTCCTGGTGCTCCGTACGGTGTCGACGTCGACCCGGGCCTCTGGAGGGAGCCGCTGCCAAAGGTGCCTGACTTCCCATCGCTTCTGGCGGCGTCTGCTGGCGCGAAGGTCGTGGAGCATATCGTGGTACGTCATTGCGTGGCGGGCTACATCGACAAGTTGACCACTCGTTGCGCCCCTGCTTCGGAGTCCCGCCTCGTGAGGAACTACGTCTGCAGACGCTCAGCAAGCTGCTTCTCCTCAACGGAGGCGTGGCGTTAGAGGGTTTCATCACTCCTTTCTTCTCTCCAGTCCCAGCTTGCCGTATTTCATTGTTCGATGATCGATGTCAGCATCCAGTTTCAGCTTCAGTCGAATGCCGTTCGCCTCCAGGAGTTGTTCCTTTTCCAGATAATGCATTTCCGCCGTAGCGATTCGTTCTTCGGAGGCCCCCCGGAGAAAAAACAACAACATCATCATCATCATCATCATCATCATCATCATCATCATCACCATCAGCATAATCATCATCATCATCATCAACATCATCATCATCATCATCATCATTATCATCATCATCAGCATCATCATCATTACGTTTTCCCTTTTCGTCGCCGCCGTCGTCCTCCTCCTGTTCCTTTTCTCCTGTTTCTCCTGCTCCTGTTTCTCCTGCACCTCTGGCTCCCCCTCCTCCTCCAGCGTCGAGACGGACCAGCGGATACGCTGGGCTCCTCCTCCTCCTCGTCCTTCTCCTTCTGCTGTACCTCCTCCTCGTCCTTCTCCTTCTGCTATTCCTCCTCCTCCTCCTCCTCCTCCTCCTCCTTCTCCTCCTCCTCTTCCTCCCCCAAATTTCGGACTCAGTCTCAGGCGTTCAGTTTGGGCACTAGAAATCCGCCCGCCACCTCCACGCTGGTACTTCAGGGGTGTGGTTGTAGCATGCCACGGCGAGGAGTATGTGAACCGCCTTGGCAGCAGATGGCAAGTCTGGCAGCTCGGGCGGTGTTCCTCTTGCTCGGTCGTGGTCGACATGCAGCGGGTGTGGACGGCGCGAGTGGAGCGACGTGCTCGCCTCGTGTGGCAACAAGTGCCTGCACCGCAACAGGCAGATCCGCATCTACGAGCCAAACCAGAGGAACGCCAGGGGCAAGGATGTCGTTGTTTTTTTTCGAATCGGCGATAACCCGGGTTATCCGGGGGGGAAGGGGCCGGCCGATAACCTAATTCACGCGCTGTGGGCAGCCCTGCATATGCCCGCACCCCCCTTCCCGCATACCTGCACAACAGGCAAGGTTAGGTTACCCTGGGGGGTATGGGGAGGGGGGGCAAGCCCGATAACCCAGGTTATCGCCCAACCTTAAAAGAACAGTTTCAAGGGCAAGGGCGCAGCAGGAGACACTGCGCCCGCATGGGCAAAAGCAAACACGAGAGGCAGGCGCGCCAGCCCGCAGCTCCGCCCATCGCCCCACCCGTCGACATTCTCAGGCAGGCGTTCGCCGTGGCGAAGGACCCGTTGTTCAAGGCGGCCATCACGGCGGCCATCCAGAAACAGGCCCAACCGCCCCACGCCCACGGCCGCCGCGGCCAGAGTTGCTTACGGCCGCGTGTTCGTTTCGTGAGCGGGCAAGAGAGGGCGCAGAGTGCCACTTAGCGTAGTGGTAGTGTCACAGAGTGTGTGTGTGTGTGTGTGTATGTGTGTCCGCCAGCGCTGTCTTAGCAGGCCCAACCGCAGCAGGCGGCAGAGCCCAGCGCCGCGGAGGCGGTCAGGCGTGCAAGATAACGCACGGCGGGGCGCCAACGCCAAGCGCAACGAGGCCGTGCAGCGGGTCGCGGAGGTGCCGCGAAGCGTTGGCTGGCGCCGAAGCCAAGGAGGGCGCCGTCCGCACCTTGGCAGAGGCGGAGATAGCTGGGCCGCTTGCGGCGCAGACGTTGGCACCCGAGGCAGTCGCAGGGGGCTCCCCAAGTGACGCCGCCACGGCATCCAGCCAGGCGGCCGACAGCGGCACGGTCCCCCTTTGACACCGAGTGGGGCACCGAGCTCTTTGAGCTCCTCCACGCAGAGGAGTTCGAGCGCGAGCCAGCCAAGAGCGACGAGCTGCTCAGGCTCGAGGCCGACCTCAGGGCCACGAAGCCCGACTACACGGGCAAGAGCGAGCGCACCACGCAGAGGGGAGGGCCTCATGAAGGCGACGCAGTCCCAGGTAATGGCACGCCTTGCCAAGGAGCGGAAGGGCGAGAGCGGCGGCGTCGCAGCTACGGCGTCTCCGACGCAGCCCAGCCTCAGTGGGCCTAGCGCAGGAGCGGCAGCGGAGGCGGCGTCGGCATCGCCGGCCTGCTGGGCCATCGTGGAGCTCTATGGAGCCGTTTGAGGCGCTCTCGGCCCGTCTGGCGCCATCGGAGGCCGTCTTGGGCGCCTCTCTGGGCCCCTCTCGGGGCCATGCAGGGCCTCCTTCGGATTCTCTCGTGCTCTGTTGGGTCGTCTTCGGGCCCTCTTGGAACACCCTGGGGCTGCCTCAGGGTCCTCTTGTGGCCTACTTCGGCTGGTCTTGGGCTGGTTTTGTTGGGCTGGTCCTTGGGGGCCTCTACATGCCTTCTTGGAAGCTCGCGAAGCCGAAAAGGCGAGACTACGAAGCACAATGCGAAACCAACGGCTTCAAGTGCTGTTCGCCTCCTGGGCCGACCCCGAGGGTTTTCAAGACAGCCCAGGAGTCCCGCATGCGAGCCTCTTGGACTCTCTTGGGGCCCTCCTGGGGCCTTCTTCTCGGCAGCGAAGCGTCTGGCATGAGACTGGTGCCACACTATAACCGACTTCATGGCGATCAGGCCCTCCTGGAAACCCTCTTGGACCCACTTCGGGCGGCAAAGCCAATGTGTGTTGACGTGTTCTTCTGAGTATTTTGCATTTGAGTGGCATC